CTGCAAAGTCTTCCTGCTCTTGCCACCAGGGGGCGCCACTCTAGCCGCTGAACCCTGGTCCTCCTGCCCCGCTGCATGTTGCACCAGGGTCGCTCTGTGCCGAGTGGTGGGCAGCGCCTGGGCACCTGGGTGGGAGTGGAGCCTTCTGGGAGGGCCACAAGGAGTACTCGCCCCGTCGGCCGAGCTGAATGGACTGAGGTGGCAGATGGGTTAGGAAGGATCAGTCCCAGGGAAGTCAGGAGGCTTCTTGGGGCACAGGGATGCCAGGGTCAGAGAGCCAGGGGCAGCTGCGGAGCGTTGCCTGCAGAGCCCTGCACGCAGGCAGTGATTGGGGGCGGGGCGGGGGTGGGGAGAAGGCGCACCCCCCCTCAGACCTTGGGGCTGGGAGGCCGAGGAGAGGTGGCCCATGGGAGTCAGCGCCTGGGCAGCTGCCTGACTGACCGACCACAGGTGAGAAAACGCCCCTGCACTGAGCGTCGGCCGAGTTCGCACCTCCGCCCACCCGTGTGGCCTCTGTGTCCACTTCCTCCCCTGACGGCCTTCAACAGTCAGGGCCCTGACCCCTCACGCTATCAGAGCCCCAGGAGGGGTCCAGTGGGGGAGGGTGAGCTCACGCTGACCAGATACGCCAGATGGCCAATGGGCAGGTCTTTCCAAGGACCCGGGCACCCCGCCCAGGCACACCTTCCCCGCAGGGCTGCTGCACCTGCTCCGCCCAACCGGGGTTCAACAGGAGGTCATGGTCCCGCTCATGTTCAAAGTGCAGGGCTCTGAGACCCCAGCCAGCCCAGAGCAGGCCTCCCTTGTTCCCCAGGACGCCAAGGTCCCGGGCCACCTCCTTAGGTGTTCCATTGATCTTCTCAGCCAGCCTGGGTGTGGATGTCACAGCCATGTGGCACTGCCACCAAATCACGCATGTGCCCATGCCGTCCTCACCCACCCTCGGCGATCAGCAGGTTCCTGGGCCCACAGCTGGCTCCTGTGCAGCACCAGCAGGCTCAGATCCTCGCTCAAACACACACCCGGCGCCACCGACCGTGCTCAGCAGGACCTGCCTTCACACATTGTTCGCCCACCCGAGGTTTAGGGTGGACACACATGCACACGGACACTCACACTCACACCCACGCACCCACACACATGCACTCACACCCACACCCACGCACCCACAACGCACTCACACCCACACCCACGCACCCACGCACATGCACCCACACCCACACACCCACGCACATGCACTCACACCCACACCCACGCACCCACGCACATGCACCCACACCCACACACCTATGCACCCACGCACATGCACTCACACCCACACACCCACGCACATGCACTCACACCCACACCCACGCACCCACAACACACACCCACACCCACGCACCCATGCACATGCACCCACACCCACACACCTATGCACCAATGCACATGTAGTCACACCCACACACCCATGCACCCACGCACATGTACTCACACCCACACACCCATGCACACGTGCACTCACACACACCCACACATCCATCTACCACACACACCCATGCACCCATGCACATGCACTCACACTCATCCAGGCAACCCACACACACATGCACTCATACACCCACACACCCATGCACACGTGCACTCACACCCACACACCCATGCACATGCACTCATATGCCAAGGCACCCACGCACATGTACTCACATCCACACACCCATGCACATATCCACACACACAACCATGCACCCATGCACACACACACTCGCACCCACACACCCATGCACATGCATTCACACCCAGGCACTCACGCACATGTACTCACATGCACACACCCATGCACGCATACACTCACACACTCCCACTCATGCACATGCACTCACACACACCCACGCACCCATACGCACGTGCAAACTCACACCCACGCACCCATGCACATGCACTCACACACCCAGGCATCCATGCACATGTACTCACATCCACACACCCATGCACATGTACTCACACTCACACCACACACCCATGCACATGCACTCACACGCCCAGGCACCCACGCACATGTACTCACACCCACACACCCATGCACATGTGCACACACACCCATGCACCCATGTACACACACATCCACACACACCATGCACATGCACCCATACACGCAAGCATACTCATACATGTACTAGCACTCCCACACACCCATGTACATGTGCTCACACTAACATGCAAACTCACACATGTACTCACACACAGGTACTCACACTCATGCACACACCCCCCTCGCCCGCAGGCACACCAAGAGCCCCCGGGAAGCAGAGTCTGAAGGGTTTCAGGCCCTGTTGCAGGATGTGTCTGCGGGTTCTCTGTCTTCCCCACTCTCTGGCCCAGCCCCTGAGAGCAAGGACATTCCCTTCCTCTCTGTCCCAAGACACCCTCCCCAGTTCAGGCCCCAGGATGAGCAAATCACACTTCTTCCCCGGCAAACCCTTTTGTCACCCTGGCCTGGTTACTGAAGCCTCTTCAGGAATCAAAGTGGCTCTATGCTTCTGGACAGAGAACCTGACTGCGGTCTGATGGCCTGGGCTCACATCCTGTCCTCACCCGTCTGTTACTAACTGTAAGCTCTTGGGCAAACCCCATCTAACATTTCTGAGCTTCAGTTTCATTCCAAACACATGGAGGAAAACACACCTTTGTCGCCTCTTCTACTCTGACCTAATTGCACTTTATTTCAACTGCCACTTCCTCCCAGAAGCTCTCCTTGATCTCCCAGGCAGAGTCAATGCCTCGCTCTCTGGCCACATCATACCCTATCACTGCCTGTTTCTGTCTCTCCCTGCTTGCTGTGACCCCCCAAAAGCAGAGGCCAATGTGACCCCGGTGCCCCTCACCAAAGCCACCCAGAGCCAGGCCGCAGAGCCCCCATCACTGTCCGTGGAAAGCACCAGATGAAACCGGAAGGAGAGGAGGGACGGCCAGGCTGCGTGGGGGAGCCTCTGTCTCCCAAGCTGCATCTCCCGGCAACATGGAGGACGCTGATCTTCCACGTGTTTCGCTCTCTCCTCCCGCCCCGGCATTTGCCTGAGAAGCAAACTGTGGGCTCGACAGCGACCCCAGGACTCTGTGGTTCTCTGTTCCTTCCAAGGCTCCAGGAAGCATCTTCTTACTCCAAGAAGTCCGGATCCTGCGGGGGAGCTTCCTGGGGACTCTGTGAAGCGGACTCCCCTCCCCACCGCAGTTCTCCCTCCCAGTCAGCCCTGTTCCCTGCCTCCGGTTCCCTGGGGGAGAAGAGGGGGTTTGGAAGAAGTCTGGGAAGAGGCTGGCTGGCCTGAGACAAGGTCAGACCTGCCTCTGTCTGGCCGGTGTCCCCAGCCCTCCCCGCCCCCCGATGTGCACCTGGCCCTTGGCTCCTGACCTCCTCTTCCAGGGGCTTATGCAGTGCTGATGCCCCTCAAAGCTCCTGCCTGCTGCAGCTCCGACTCAGGCCCTGTCCCTGTGGATGGTGCTGGACGCTGGCCTCTGTGAGTCATGTCCTAGCCTGATCCATCCCCTCCTGACCCCAGGCGGGACATACCCAGTGCTCTGCCTGGCTGCCCTAGCCCAAAAAAGAACATCTGGACACATTCCTCCCTACCAAGGTTGACGATGTGTCATTTGGAAAATCGTCTTGGCCAAGGCTGGTTTCCAGCCCTGTGGGAGTGAAGAGCAGAGACCACAGATCGGGACACTGAGGTTTGAGCTTGGCCTCCCTGTGACGTCACCGCGGAACATGGGATTCTGTGTCCTCATCTGCGGAATGGGGACATTACCCAACCCAGTGCAGGTGCAGAAGCCCAAAGGACACATGTGCCCAGCCCTTCCCTCCCGGTAACCCAGTGGCCCCGCCTGGGGAGACACTGGCTACAAATGGGGGTCCCAATTTGTTCACCTCCACTGTACCCCACACCCATCCCAGCACTAACACATTTCCAGATATTGTGACTAAGAACACAGGCTTGGCCAGACCTTAATTTGAGTACAGTTCCCTATGAATTCGCTGTGTGACCCAGCAAAAGTTACTTAACCTCTCTGGGCCTCAGTGCTATCATCTGTCACATGGGGATTCTAATGGGGATTAAAAGAAATCATGTGCATAAAATGCTTGGCACAGAGACTAAATGTTAGCTAATTACTGTTGTGGGTATTATTATTGTTATCTGTCTGGAAGACTGAGGGCCAGGCTGCCTGGGCTCTACTTGTCTGAGGGACAGGGAAGCCTCCTGGAAAGGAACTTACTCTAAGGAAACACCAAGGCACAGAGTCCTTTGCCCAGGGAAGCAGGCCCTGGACACGTGAGTCTGGGCACAGGATGGTGGGTGCCTCTCACCCTTAGTCCAGGGACTCATGGCGGCACCCAAGAGGGACCAAACCAGGCCAAGGGATCAAGCCTGGCCAAGCCTTCCCCTCACCTCTGTAGGAGACTGGGGGCAACAGCGGACCTCCGGGGTCCAGCGACATTGGGAACCCAGGCTCTGGCAACCATGGGAGGCAGGCAGGGTCGGAGGGGCCTCTGGAGCGGCCAGGGCCGGAGTGGAGACCGGTGGCGTCGGAAACCTCTCGGATCCCGCTTGAGGCGGTCTTTGCTTTCTGCCGGAGGAGGTGACACTGAAACACCGAAATACTGCCTTGTGGCCAGAGTCGTGATGCTGTTTGTACCCCCTGATTTTGTGAAATGAGGAACATGTTTGAGTTTCCCTTATCAAAAAAAAGGTTAATTGGGAAATTCGATGGTGTCTTTTGTGAAGACACTGCAGCCACCTTTCAGCTGTCCGTGGCACTATAATGCCTTTTTTCCACTATAGGCTTGCAAGGCAGGATGCTTGTTTACTCAACAAATAATCTTTTTTAATTTTTATTTTTAATTGACAATAATTGCATCTATTAATAGAGTACAATGTGATATTCTGATATGTGTAGACATCAGGAAACGATTTCACTCAACAAATAGGCACCTTCCATGCACCAGCCCCTGGTGATTCTGTGTTGGGCGAGGCAGACCCAGCCTGCCCACTGGAGCTGATCGGGGCACCAGCTGCCCAGAGCTAAGGGAGCGCAGCCGCAGAGCTGCACAGGCTGGGGTTCAGACCCCAGCTCGCCACTCACTGTGCAGACCCTCTGCTCACCCATCTTGCTGGCGTCACAGCAAGCCTGACTCAACATGGTTCCAGGAACGATGGAAAGAGAAACGAAAAATGAAATTTAAAAAACAGTAAAACTAAACATCATACCTTTTCAAATACCTACATATGAAAAACTATATAGTTGTCCTTTTAGTTTAAATGCAGGATTCAGGAGTGTGGTCACCTGGGTGAGGGAGAGCACAGGCCCTCAGTAGAAGCAAGTGATGGACGATGCTGTGGTTCTCGTGTTGGTGGTCGGCTCACAGGGTTTATTATACACATACGCACATAAGAAGAAACACACTGGCCCAGTCGTGAGCATACGGCATAAACCAAGGGCCGTAGTGATCAGATCCTGGGTTCCTGAGGTCCTCCTAAGAATTAAAAACCAAAATGGAATGGTGTGGACAGCGAGCGTGGCTCATGCCTCCTCCCTGTCTCCCATCCTGGAATATGGCATTTCCTCACTTTGGAAAAGCAGATTTGTGCCATCCCAACAAGTTTTAAAAGAAACAAAAGGCGTTTTTGCCTCCTGAGAAATCAGGGCTCCAGGAGCCCATCCGTCACCAGGCAGGCGCGTGACGAACTTCGTGGGTGGCCCATGTCAGGTCCACCCTGTGCCGCCACTGCCTGGAGTGAGGCCACCTGTGCCCAACACACTGGGCTTGTGGTGCCGGCCACAGGGAACAGTTGCAGCTGAAGGAGGTGTCGGAGTGCCTCTCACCATAGCTACCGTGTTAGGGTTCTTCAGAGAAACAGGACCAGTAGGATATGTAGATCTATAGCGCATAGGTTAATATATAAAGGAATTGACTGTCACAGTTTTGGAGATGGGTGAGTCTGCAGCCTGGAAACCCAGGAAGAGCTGATGCTTCCATTCAAGTCTGAAGGCAGCAGAATGCCAATGTACCAGCTCAAAGGCCACCAGGCTGGGAGAATTCTCTCTTACCTGGGGGAGGGTCTCCAATAGCCTTTTGTTCTATTCAGACCCTCAACGGATTGGATGAGGCCCACCTGCACTGGGCAGGAGCAGTTGCTTTACTTAATCCACCAACTCAGGTGTTAGTCTCGTCCAGAAATACCCTCGCCGACATAGCCAGGGTAATGTCTGACCACATATCTGGGCACCCCATGGCCCAGTCAAGTTAACACATCACAGCCACCAGGGGCCCAAGTGAGAGCCCGGCGTCCAAACGTCCGCTTACCTGGCCCAGGATACTGGCTTTTGCCGGCCTGCACTTTGGCGTCGTGGCCTGGCCCACGTCAGGGGGAGCATAAGATGCTGCCGGGAAGGTTCCTGGTGTCGTTGGTAGCCTGAGGATGCTGGCAATGCCATCATCCCACCTCCTTTGTGAGTTTCCAGATTTAGCAAATAAAAATAAAAGAACTCCTGGTTACATTTGAATTCAGGTAAATGATGAGCAAGGCTCGAGTGCCTATCCCATGTGATCATTGCATGCGTTCCGTGCGTCTGCCTCACTCACGGCTTCATCCTGTTTTCCTGCCATTCTGTTTCCTTCCGATTCCCTTGCTTCCTTCAGATTCAGAGGGATGGACAGAGACTAGGAATGGGGCCAGCCTGTCTGCCCTGCCCTACTGTCTGCATGAGTCTCCCCCCAGTGGTCCTACTGTGTGTGCCAGGCCCCTGGGCAGCCTCCCACCTTTGGCAGGGCCCTCTTTCTCCTCTCTGTCCCCTCTCCTCTCTCCTCTGCCTGGACCGAAGTGCCTTGTTCCCTTGGTGCTCAGCTTTGAATGAGACCACGTTGCTGGAGCACGATCTATCCATGCCCATCGCATGATGCTTGTGGCCCTGGTTTTCCAACAAGTGACCTGAGCCACTCCAGGTTACCCCTCCCATGGCATCTGTGTGGCCTCCAAGGTTCCTGAAGGGCAGACATCTTGGGCCATGGGCCTGAAGAGCCCTCAGTGGATGTGCTGGTTTTGTGGCCACCCAGTGGGCAAGAGGCTTCTGTTTAGGGGGCCTACAAACCTCGAACCCCAGCAGACATGCTTAATGACCTGTGATAGACGGTCGTAAGGGGCAGGTGTCCTGGACTGAGAGGCAGGACCTCGTCTGCTACATCAGGTTATTGTGTGACCTGAGCAATCTGCTTCACTTTCAAGCCGGTTTTCTCATTGCAAGGACCCTGCTTGTCCATCTGAAGTTTAGTCCTCCACCCAAAACCCAGTGATTCTGCTTATGGATAGAGCAGATGATCTGGCCAGTGTCAAGATTAGCAGAATGGAGAGGCTCAGCTAACAGCCAGTCTTCTCCAGAATAAATATGCATCCATTTGCTCAACAAACAGCAAAGATTTGCTCATTGATGGAGCCTAGAACAAAATCACCCACACACTTGAGATGCTCACAAAGTCTGACTTTCAGGGATGCCAGCTGAGCGGACATTATGTTGGAAGAGTGATTTGGTCTTCCAAGGTTAGACATTGAGCAGGCCTCTCTGGTGAATGCCAAAAAGGAGCCAGTTGAACTTGACATTGGCTGGAGTTCAAGTGTTGCCATTTTATTTGTGCTGTGCTTCGAGGGGCCATCAGAGAATGAGGGCCAGAGGAAGGAAGAGGTGGAGACAGGACTGCCTGACCAGCCGCTGTCTCCTGACTGTGCTGTACAGGACAGAGGGGACCTTGCTGGACGTGAGAGAATGAGCAAGAGAATGAGCACATGATCCACTGCTCCTCCTGCTGTGAGACTCAACATCATCTCAGTGCCAAGCTTTCCCCAAATGACAGGTTGTGACCAAGTGATCCATAAGAACAGTTTATAAGGTCTTCACACCTGCACCATAGCAATAAAATTCATCCAAGCCCCAGGCTTCAAATCTAAGACATCACCTAAGCCTGAAACTCAGTACATAGGAAAACTGAGGCTCAGAGAGGAAGGGAACGTGATTTGCCAGGATTACACGGGGAGACAGTCCTGTTCTAGCCACTGAACCCACTGAAGAATTCCATGTGGCCCCATCACGGGACCCCTGCCCCACAAAACCTCCAAGATGCCAGCTTCAGCTTCCACAGGGTGTGAAATGGAGCGGCCCATGCAGGGAGGAGGGAAAAAGCAACAGCAGAGTCTGCACGGCCGGCAAGGCTGCATGTCCCCGCTTTGGGCCATGGGGAAGGCTTTACCTCTGCAGGATGGTGACTCGGCACACTAGTAACTATTAATTCCGTGGCTGTAGAAAGCCAGACATCAATTTCAAAGGGACTCCCCCTCCAGTTTCGAGACAAGGACAGTTGGATGATGGAAAGATTCTACACTGAGACCAAACATACATCAAGCCGGTTTTGGCAGCGTCTGGAATCCAGGCTGCACTTGAGGCCAGCTCAGCCCCTCCGCCAGGCTCTAACATGTTGCCAGTCTCTCCCCAGTCCCTGTGCTTGATGAAGGGACAGCCCGAGTAGACAGAGGAGATGAATTCCAGGAATTTGATCTTTCAACACCCAAGGCTCTGGAGCCTGGGGGAGAGAAATTCTTTCCTGTGTCTTTAAGCAGCTTCCATGTTTCTCAGCGCCAAGCAGAACAGCCCTAGATTTTCTGATCTCTTTTCATTCACTCATCTACCAACAAAAAGGCAGGGAGCACCAACTGTGTGACAGGCCACTGCAGCCCAGAACCCTCCTGTCCTGGGGCCTCCGCACCTCCCATCTCAGGGCACACACTGCCCCATCTTGCACCTGCCTCTGTTGTGTCTCATTCTCCACCCAGACCATCAGTGTTCATGGGCAGAGACACAATAGGGTCCTTGGAGATGATCAGGTTAAGATGAGGTCGCCTGGTACGGTGGTTCACGCCTGTAATCTCAGCACTTTGGGAGGCCGAAGCGGGTGCATCAAGAGGTCAGGAGTTCAAGACCAGCCTGGCCAACATGGTGAAACCCTGTCTGTACTAAAAATACAAAAATTAGCCAGTGTGGTGGTGGGTGCCTGTAATCCCAGCTACTTGGGAAGTTGAGGCAGAAGAATTGCTTGAACCCAGGAGGCAGAGGTTGCAGTGAGCCGAGATCGTGCCATTAACTCCAAAGGTTAGTGGGGTTACTGGTTAGTGCCCACTCCAGACTGGGCAATAGAGCAAGACTCTGTCTCAGGAAAAAAAAAAAAAAAAAGAGGTTATGAGGTGGGTCCTGATCAGACACTGTTGTGTCCTTATGAAAGGCCGGGTCTGGACACAGACAGCCTCCTGGGAGAGCCCTACACGATGATAAAGGCAGAAATCAGAATGATGCCTCTACCAGCCGACCGAAGTCACAGGAGACTGGCCTCAGACAGAGCAGGACAGAGCCAGCCCTGCCGAACCCTCTGTCTCAGAGCCCCAGCCTCCAGAACTGCAGGACAACAACCATCTATTATTACACTGCCCAGTGTGCGTTGGTTTGTGATGGCAGCTGATATGGTTTGGCCGTGTCCCCACCCAAATCTCATCTTGAATTGTAGTTCCCATAATCCCCACATGTCATGGGAGGGACCCAGCAGGAGGTGACTGAATCACACAGGGGTTTTCCTTATGCTATTCTCGTGATAGTGAGTGGATTCTCACAAGATCTGATGGTTTTATAAAGGGCTCTTCTCCCTTTGCTTGGCACTTTTTCCCCGGCCCTGTGAAGAAGGTGCCTTGCTTTCCCTTCCCCTTCCGCCATGATTGTAAGTTTCCTGGGGCTTCCCAGCCAGACAGAACTGTGAGTCAATTAAACCTCTTTCCTTGGCCGGGCGCGGTGGGTCATGCCTCTAATTCTAGCACTTTGGGAGGCCAAGGTGGGCAGATCACCTGAGGTCAGGAGTTCGAGACCCGCCTGGCTAACGTGGCGAAACCCTGTCTCTACTAAAAACACAAAAATTAGCTGGGCATGGTGGTGCACACCTGTAATCCCAGCTGTTTGGGAAGCTGAGGCAGGAAAATCACTTGAACCCAGGAGGTAGAGGTTGCAGTGAGCTGAGATCAATCAAGCCACTGCACTCCAGCCTGGGCAACAGAGAGAGACTCCATCTCAAAAAAAAAAAGGAAAGAAAAAAGAGAAAGAAAACATCTTTGCTTTATAAATTACACAGTCTCAGGTATTTCTTCATAGCAGCATGAGAATGGACTAATACAGCAGCCTTAGCAAGTGAGTAGAGATTTGCGTGGAAATTTGGTGGAAACGAGTGCTAGTTGAACGTGTACAATGAGATAAGCCAACATCTTGCCTTTGAGGCAGGAGTCAGGTGAGGCTGATGGCCACTCATGCTGAGCATTTTGTACATAGCAGACAGACATCCTCTCACGCTTCCGTGTCCGCTCACCTGCCCCTGCTCGGCAGTCACTAGCACTGCCCTCTACTTTGACACGAGAAGAAGGAACATAGCTGGGTGGTTTGCTGGGGTTGGCTGTGGGACGTGAGCCCAGGTGGCCTGACTCCAGAGCCCAAATTCCTAAATGACAAGTTCTCCTATACTGCCAGGAGGTGTGTGCTCCCCAGCTCTGCCTTTCACTGGCTGTGCTGTTTAAACACGCCTCTGTGAGACTCGGTTTTCCCATCTATGAAATGGAGTCTTCCTCGAAGAAGAGGTAAGGAAAGGAGCCAGGTCGGGGGCGTGCCCAGGACTGAACCTGCAGAGGTGACTTCCTTGGGGGACAAATAGGACAAGGACATGTGTACTGATGGTTCTCAGACAGGTGGACCATGCTGAGGGCCACCTGAGTCAGACAGAGAGAGGGCAGAGGAGTGTGCGTGCCACCTGCATGGGTGCCATCACACTGTCACCCCTGGCAGGGGAGAGCTGGGATGTGGACACTGTCACCACATCCTGAGTCTGAAATCCAGCGGGTGTCCAAGCGAGCCCCAGGGAAAGGGTCACCCATCGCCATGCTCAGGAGAAGTCAGTGCTTGGGCTTGTCCCCTGGACCTTGGGGTGCTGGGTGCTGCAGGTCCCTACCCTGTCATGGACCTTGGAGGGAAGAGTGAGAGCCTCTCCAGCTGGTCACCCTGGTCCCACTCACGTGGCCAGAGACAGTGCAGGAGGGTGGGAGCAGTGATGGGGAACAAGCTTGTATAAAGGCCTACCCTTCGGCCGCCTATCCGCACAGTTCCCCAGCTCACCACACACACTAGGCGTTTCACCGGCTCCTGTCCCACCATGTCATCGTGGCCTTGGTCCCCACTGAACAGAGCCACCTGGAGAGAGCAGACTCCCCTGTTCCCCACTTTCGCCCCGGCTGTGCTTCTCCCTGCCCTGAGCAATCCGCCCCCTCCACTGACACGGGGTGTCCGTCCCGTGCACATCCGTTAGGGCACATACCCCGGCCTGGAAAGGACGGAGGCCCTCAGGAGCGAGGCCAGGAGCCCCACGGCATTTG